CTAGTGTGTAGTATTCGTACAAAATGTAATTTTAAAGTAGGTAATTTAATTGGTAAGAGAAGATGAAGAAATTCAAATCCATTATTAGATTTCAAGTAGAAAGTGCAGCATTTGAAAGACGAGGTATAAGGTTTGGTAAAAGTGTTACATAATGTGATGATAGTAAATTAAAATATATTATTGTTACGAAAATTCAAATTCAACCAAAGTGCTTAGTAAATAGTTAATGACATAAATCTCTTTCATCTACCATCACAAGTCTACTATGTAACCATATTGGCTAAAGGATAAAAAGTGCATATTAGCATTAATAGGAACTCTTTTTCGCTTTGCATAATAGGAAATCACGAGCAGGAGGAATTTTTTACAGATATCAAGCTCCGCAGGTTTAAATTTTTCTTTCAGGGAAAAAATATCTATTAAACATGGAAAAAGTATAACACTGTGGTGAATGAAGGGGATATGAATAAAAGATGAATAAATTTTGTTGGAAGTGTTAATGGTGAAAGTGTGAATGTAAGTTATCAATGCAAGAAAATCTGTTAAAAATGAATATTGAAAATTGGTTTTAAATGATAAAGTGCTATATTAATATGTGATTAAAATTCAATTTAAAAGATAAAATTGAAATTAATCACTAACTCATTCATCTTGATAAAATTAAGCATCCTAATGAATTAGCAATTCAATAAAATCATTGCTCCGCCTCCATACAACCTAAAATTTAGTAAGAATTAATACATGATATATAGATGACATATTTAAAAGCCAAGGAAGATGTTTTATATATTCAAAAGTATTACAAAACATACACTCCATCACAGATTTACAAGCTACTGTATTATTGCAGCTTGTTAGACATCCTTCTTATTATCTAGTAACTTCATAAAAGAGTTTTTTCCATGCAAAAGTAGTCGCAAATCAAAACAAGTCATGATGTTTTTGCTACAAAATAAAACAAAGGCTTATCGATGAGATGGAGATAGCAAAAGAGCATCAATTTTTTTAGATTGTAGCATTTCTTCATACACAGAAGGATGTTTCCATCAATCGAGTTACCTGTTTATGAGGTCAATAGCATGCTAGCTAACAAAGATAGGTAAATGAAAATTGGAAATTACTAAAGTTACCTGTTTGAGGTTCAAATCAATCCTAATGTAGAAGATTATCAGCATCACCTTGAAGTTGAAGCTGAATAGGTCCCCATGCTCTTCACGTTGACAAATTGGTAAAAAACAAAAGGTGAAAATTGGCTATCTTAAAGACTAAAAAAAAGAAGAAAAAAAAAAGCATCTAGAAGAGCCATAACTGAAGCTATCTACATCGATTAACTATAGGAAAATTTATGTACATCGATTAACTATTGCAGGTGCACTACAAAAGCTAGAAGACAACTTAGAATATAAACTAACATCATTTTATTAGCTACTGCACTTTATATTGATTTAATATATCAAATGATTTTCTTGAAGAAGCATTAGAAGTAAACTCTCTACGAATACCTTCTACTGTTGTCTTTCTTCTTAGATGATGATTATGTGTAGATGAAATTGATGGTGTTCGAGCATTCAATTCTCGTCGTGCATCACACACACCTCGTGATCTGGCGTATGATTGCCTACGTCGTGAATTTAGGGATTCTTTTGCTTTATCATAAATCTCTCTGCGACGTCTTTTTCGTAGTTCACAATTTTCAGCAGCATCATCGAAGGCATCCATAAACCATATAACTAAATATAGAAAAAAAATTATTAGAAATGAGTATAAAAAAGAAGAAAACATAAACAAGCACAAACAACAACTCTCCAATTCACCAAATTTAAACACAGCAATTTTCGTCAAAGAAGGCTTCTCCTACCTACTTTAATTCTCTATATGAGAATCACATGTAACAGTAAAAATTTACCAAATACCTAATAAATTTGAGGAGGCAAAGTTGGGAGAAAAGATTTAAACGGGATATCAGTAAGCTATAGAGAGGAGAAAAAATCAAGGGCAAACTATGAACTCATCCTAAACCCAAATAATCATTGTTTTAATCCCCAACTATTCCACTAATGACCACCGTTAAAAATGCTTGATAATTTCTATCAAAAAAGCCGAAAGAAAAGGCAGTTCCTATTTTTTTGTTTGGTGCTATTGAGAGTTGATGCTGCTAAGATTTGTATCAAGGAAATCAGACGACATGTCACACCTATGCCAAAAAAAAAACAGGTTGTTTAGATATGGAAAAAGTGATGATATTGAAGCCAAATATTGGAAACTTCTAATGATTAGTGGTGGCAGCGGGTGCTAATAACTGGCTGGTGACTGGCGACTGGCAAATCTGACAAATGTTCCCAAAAGGCACGCCTTTGTTCCCAGCTAGAGAAACATCATTTCCAATAAGACAGACGAGCTTCTCCAGCAGAACCCCAGCTATACTTTACATACACCAAACTTAGTACTATTTGTTTTTTGGATAAATGAAGTTAGCATACTCTGATATTCTCTCTAGGAAGCCTCAGTATATTTGAAATATGTCTTGGCATATAAAATTAACCAGACATCCAGAGTTTTATTTCCTATATGTATGGAGCTAAAATAGGACATAGAGTTTAGCAGTGAATGACTCTGACTATCTAATTACTTAGTGAACTGCATATGCCATCTAAGGACTACATCTAAATTAACCACCATTCATTTTTGGATTAATGAAGTTAGCAGAGATTGTCTCTAGCAAGCCCTCATTATATTTGGAATTTGTTATGGTATATAAAATTAACCAGACATCCAGAGTTTTGTTTCCAGCATGGAGCTAAAATAGGATCAAAGACTGTTAATAGAGTTTAGCAGCGAATTGAATCTGCCATGTAAAAACTCTATTTAATTACTTCAGTAGATTACATATGCCATCTAAGGACTCCACCTAATTAGTTTAGGCAATAAACCGATTGGGAAATTGAAATTTATTCCAAACATGGATTAAGAGAGGGAAAACCAGCAACAGAAAAACCTTTATAATTATTGCAAAGTCTGCCTTTCTTTAATTCCCATAACTCTATTCCATCAATCTGATTGACAATTTCAAGCATTGTGCGTTGGACTTCATTATCTCCATCCACTCCATCATCAAACCGTGCACCTCCAATGGCATCTATTTCATCAAAAACCACGATGCAAGCTTTTTTAGAGCGGGCCATCTGCATCAAGGAAAAGGTGATAATCAGATAGCAAGTAATGTAAGAGAACATGTACACAAACTAAAGTAACGAAGGACTTGACCTGAAATAGTTCACGAACCATCCTTGCTCCCTCACAGTGTTTTACCAGTACGAGGAGGACTATAGCAGAGAACACCCTTTGGGGGGTCGATCCCTAGCTTCACAAGTTTTTCAAGGTGAAGCATGGGCAGCTCAACAACCTACCATATCCATCAGACAGTGCAGTCATGAAAGCAAATCAAATTTCAAATTGAAATCTTCTAATAGAGTTATTCAAATATATTGGAATTTTCTGGCAATAGGGTAATGGTAACAAAGTTTAAAGTTAGTGCATTGTGAACTGGCAGGGTAATGGTATAAAATGGAGCAGTAGAGTGCCGCGAGGAATACAAAATGGAATAGAACAGAGTATTAAAGAAGAACAAACTTTACCAATGGTAATTTATATTTAGATGAATTTCTGAGAGAGCACGGGAGCACGGAGGTTTAACATACCTAAAATATTTACTCTTGTCGCTGTCCAAACAGCTTAGCGTGAACAACTTAATAATACTGCAACAAAATATGTCAAATGTTTGTGCACAAGAATATATTCACTATCAACTATTATCATCCAATATTTTACACTGGCGAAATGGATTCAAATGACATCCTTAAAGAAAACTTAGATAGCAAAGGCGTAGAAAACTAATTTCTCGTGACATATTACTCATTCTTGTGCCCTGATTAAATAAGATGCAAAATATAACAGAACGCACATGACAGAATAGCCATATTATGTATTAATCAGACACTTAACAGTCTGAAAGTGATTACATTCTAATAAAACAATAGCACTCCTAACACATCGACGAGGATCACCATAGGTATCATTTTTACAGTGTGCATCTAAAGGTCAAAACACAGCACATAAATCATGTATTAGCAAGAGCAAAAAGCTTACTTATAAGTAATAATTAGGAAATTAGAAGTAACAAAGAAGCTAAATATCCAGAAATGTTTAAAAACGAAAGTGTTTAAATGTTAATTTCTACCTTTGAATTTTAAAGCTTAGCCAAACATGTTCTAAATGCATTTCCAAATCTCCGATAGCTCGCTAACTAAACCTCACACATTAAGCAAAAAATGAATGAAACTGCATTGACGGTTACAATGATTTTCGTAAGATTCTTACCAGCAATAACATGATCAAAACTTTCTTTGTACTGGAAATCATTGCAGAGAATTCTATTAAATCTAAGGTTTGGAGTTCGTGCACATTTTCAAATAGTTGTCTGGATCAGTGCTGTAAAATATTTGACAATTGTTGTGCTTCGACCGTGATTTCAAATCTCTTGACATGCATGAAAAAGAATTATGAAAAAAGATACACAATTCAGATTATTGTTGACTTGTTGCAGATTTTATTAAATGCAAATATTGTTTTGTGATTAATTTGATGGCAAAAATAGAGGTAATTTTCAATACCTCTTCTACATTTATACTTAGATTTGCTCAGATACAAGAAATTTGAGTTACCAGAAAATTGAAAAAAAAAAAAAAATTTGACAAAGAAAAAGGAAAGCATAGCCATATCAAACTATAGAAAATCTATGAGTTAGACTCAGTTATACATAGCTCACATTCAAAGTTGTCCATGGGGAAAAGGACAACGATGGTTACAAAGGAATTCTCTATTTAATATCTTACAATTTTAGTCCTTCAAGTTGAAGTTACCATCCTAATGAGATCACCCTTTTTGTTTTTCTTTTTCTATATAAATGCTAATTTCTGAACTTATGTCCATGTGAGACATAGAGCAGCTTCGTTCACAGTTACCTAGAGCATAAATTACAAAGAAATCTTGCTAAAGCTTTCTTAGTGACGTCTAAATTATTCACAAGAGAAGTTGATACATTTGGAAGAGTCAAGTTTCCAGGTATAAACCCCAGCATTGACAATCCAAGTGGAGATATCTTCTCAACGCTTTCGACAATGAGAATCATGATATGCTTCTGATAATGCTTCAATCATTTGTTATACGTCAATATTCTGCCAGGATTGTAATTACAAAAATTATAATTTTATTTCATTTAGCTTAAAAATCTTGACTACATCAGTTCTACAACATGTAAATTAGGGAGGGAAAGGTAAATACATGTACATTTACACATCTAGACGCACACGGGGAAAGAGAATTCATTAGAAAGGGGAATAACACAATATGAAATTCATTCGATGTTACTACAGATTAAAAAGGGAATAGAGATCAAACACATCCCAGGACACTCTACTTGAGAGAAAAATAAAGTAAAAAGTGGTTATATAGAGAGAAAAAGGACCAAGAAGTAGATGTTTGAGGATGTTAAATAAACATTCGTCTGGTAGAATCTCAATGGAATTTTTTTTAGTCTCAAATATACTAATTTCAACAAGCAATGAACTACTGATATGATGGCTCTTTCTTGGATGGCGATAACCATTGTTATGGGAACAAAATGAACTTCCAGTAGAGAAATCTCCATCATCTGAAAACGAAAAGAATTAACATTAGCTAACTCTGTCAACCTTATTCATCAACATAGTTGTTTGAGAACAACTTTTCATTTATTAATCTTGTCTTAAATATTTCTGTTCATTGTGAAGGAATTTAAAAATCAATGTTATGTATGTGAAATTAGTTATACTTGTAAGTATTTTCCCTATACTAAATATTAATCCATCTAAGGATCTTAGAGAAGCAGTTTTAGATACAAAAGGAGAAAATTATTCATTTCCCAAACTATGGTATTCTTGTACAAAATCCACAGTGAAAACCAGTATATTAAAAACTGATAAATAATAGAAGAAAAAGATTTAAAAGAAACTAATCATTGTAATTAACAAGAGTAGGCACTGCTATTCCTCATAAGAAAATGCCAAATGAGAGCTCTAAAGATCAAATATTTAAGTACAAACAGCAAAACCCAGATCAGATTTTCAGCCAAGATTTGAATTTCAGGACAAATATATCTCATGATTTTCTTCAGTTCCGTGCTGTGCAGAGGTGGAAGCATGAACTGGAGATAGTGACAAGGACAAAAAAATTGATTAAGAGAAATAGTGACAAGGATGAAGAAGTTAAAAATTGTTTGACAAGTGATAACCATATAAAAGCAGGAGCATCTTAAATTTGGGATTAATGAAGTACTGAAGTAGCGACAAATGACTGATTTGGGATTGAATTAAACTGTCTGGCTCTTATGAATAATTGTACTTGTTAGATAAAGGTCGAAACATGTTCAATAAATTAGATGTAAAAGTAGGGAAAAAAAACATAACATTGAAAACATCGTACATCGAATCTTGAAACTGAAAGAAAGAATATAGACAAACCTTGAGAGTTATTTTGATGTTAGGATGAAAGTTGACGTAGAAAGTATTGATTTCTGCTGATGTCTAATACCATCTTTCGTCTGTATATAGTCATTTTGTCTGGATTAACTGATTCAATAGGATATCCAAAAATGAAACATTTATGTATTTCAGGAAAAAAACTCCACAATTTGGCCTATGGAAGAAGATAAATTTTTTTGTTAGAATGAATATATAAGAAATTAAAGTGAAATGAAAAAGAAGTAAATAATATTTACCCTTTATTTGTACAAGGTAGGTATGGTATAATCTCTACTTCCATCTGTTTGTTTCGATGTTTCTTTATAGATGAACTGATGGTAACTTCTGATAACAATAATAAATAGACCATGCTTATTGTTGTGTGTGCATGATTCATGACCTCTTTTGTGGTATGAACACTATGGCTACAATCATATATCTGGAATTTCCACTCTCGAAAACTTACACGGTAGAGATACCAATTGTTACCTGGATAGTAGCATGGAATTAATAAGTAATTACATGCTAACCATGGGCGACCATTTGATGGAAAAATGCCATTCATGTATTGTCCTAGACGAGCAACATCTTGTGTTTGTTTTTTAGCTGCAATTCCTTCTTTTCTACTTCTATGCAATGTTAATTCGTGAGCACATTCATCTTCAAATCCAAAATCAAGAATTGCATTTTCTTTTGAAAGATGGGTGCAACCTTCTTTGATACGTTGCCTCAACAAAATATTCTTTTGAAAGATTGGTGCAATCTTCGTTGATTTGTCGCCTCAGCAAATTCAGTTCCATGTCAAGATTCTAATAAATTAAATAAGGATAAATGAAATATATTAACCGATAGAATAAACAACTATAAATGAAATATAATAAGTGTAATCAGAAGTAATTTTACTAACTATGGTAGTGATATCCTTTGTTATATCCATTATATTTTTCAAAACATCCCTACCGTGTAGATTTCCACTTCCTTCATCCAAAAATGTTCTGCATAAAAATAAGATAAGTCATCTTAGTTTTAAATGAATGATAGTAAAATTTTAATATTCAAGTTAGATTGCTTACCCGGATGGATTCTGTGCTATCCAATCTCTAAGAGTGACATATGTTTCGAAAGAATAATCTTCTAAACTATGACTGTCCACAACACGAGTTGCCCAAGATTTTTGACGTTTTTTGGTTTTGGTTAATTCTTGAACATCCTCAATATCTTTCACTTGTTGAGATGTTGAAGCATGTTTTACAATCGTACTTTGTTGGGGATGAAGATCTTCCTGGAAGGAAGCCATAACAGCTTCTATATTTGTCTTCCAACTTGACATTGTATTCATCATATTCTTATTTTCTTCATCTATGTAAGATCTCACTGAAACTAAACTTGTATCTATGTAATTCTACATGTTGAATTGCATGTCTTGATACTGTTGTTGTTGCCATTGTTGTTGCTGTTGGAAGTTATCTTGGTGCCATTTTTGTTGCTGCTCAAATAACTGTTGTTGCTTGCGAAGAATTACCTCGTAACGACTCTCTTGTTGTTCAACAATGTTTGCTTGCAAATTGTCGCACAAATTTGATACATCTGAGACTACATGTTTTCTATATGTGTGAAACATATTCTCCATCTCTTCTTTTGTTATATAATTACAGCTGGAATTTCGTCAGCTTGAGCAGCGTGATTGGAGCTAGAACTTGGGCCTGGTCCAGGTAATGTATTTGCAGG